TCACAATGAAATCATGTCAGTATTTGCAATCAAGGCGAGTTGCTTGTTTTTGGTTTCCAGTTGCCGCGGGGGAGGGTAAATGAGACTACAGTACTGCTTACTTTCACCATGTTGTCTGAAGGAGTTGACAATCGTCAGATTATTGTCATCAGACTGTTGATATCGTCATTTCGGCGCAAAGCAAACCATTGATAATTAACAGTCTTGTTCCCCCGGAGACATTACCCACCTTTCGCGTTGATATCGCTCTGTTATTGACTTGGTTTGGCAATTACAATGTCTAAGGTCATTGTTGCTTTACATAGGATGATGAACCACGAAGAGCGAGCACTAACGGGAGTTTCTGATGCCTTTGCAAATGCGAAAAAAATTAAATATGAAACGGGCATGACATACAGCAAGAAGAGTTGACTATCCCTGGATAAAAGAGGAATTAGATGAGGTTCTGAGAGTCCATGGGAAGATTTCAACCTCATTGGATGACGAGGTGGTGTATTCGGCCGATTCTGTAATTGCAGCGCTGAAGAATAACAGTTGCTATGCGCTTTTCTATTCTAACCGACCCCATTCACTCGCTATACCACTATTTGCACCAGTGCTTCGATCATCGAAGCAGTATACCTGGTACCGGGAAGCTTGTGCACAGAAGCCGATGATAGATTTGATAATCACGTCGTCTGACTTGCGACGCCTTGTCACAGCCATGAATTCGGCTGAGCAAGAAATGTACAGTACGTTGCTTTGAGCTTGGATTGTTCGGTCGGTAGTGCATCGAACTCAGAGCCGACCAGTCACGGTCCCGGTCCCGGCTTCAAGCCTGTGCACCTTCTTTTTGAAGTTGGTAAATGAGTATCACTTTGTGGATTGGAAACAATAGACTGCAAATTATCTTGCTTTCAAAATAAATCACTCTTGGCTAATGGCACCGAAATGGATATCAGCTCCTCACAGTTCCTTTTAGAAGGTGCTCCAGAAATGACCTCGTAATGAAAGTATAAACACCAGCAACATTTCGACGGTTGCAAACTTTTGTTCCTTTTCCTTCCAACCTGACTGCCTCACAACAGATTCAACGATGCACTGAATTTCTACTCATCCTGTATATGGTTTTTTTGTTCCCTTAACTTCCTCGTTTATTTTCTCGCCGTCTTGTATCATACTTTTCTATTTTTATTGTCCCCCTTAAGTTCTTTCTCTTCTTCATCACCTCACTTAGCCACTTATTTCCTTTCTGTTTATCCTTTCTTCCCAGAGCCACACCTTTATACTTTTTGCTTCAAGCGAAAAGGAATATTCAACAGACGTGTAAATGACTAGCAGTCCCTCAGTCCCTCCCCCCTTTTCTAGTCATCTAGAGGACTGTGTAAGCAGGTCATGGCGCCAGAGCATTTTATTTTAGCAGTGAGACTCTCATGATGCGAGCCGAGGAAAAAATAACCCATTTCATCTGATTTCCGTGCGGCAATAGATCTTC